GGCTTCTTGGCAGCGGGTTTCTTGGCTGCCGTGGTCTTCTTGGCGGCGGGCTTCTTGGCTTTGGCGGGAGCCTTCTTCTTCACCACCTTCTTGGCCGGTTTGGCGGCTGCAGGCTCCTTCTTGGCGAGCTTGAAGGACCCGGAGGCGCCGGTGCCTTTGGTCTGGCTCAGGGTGCCGCTGGTGACCAGCTTGGTGACGGCGGTGTTGATGCGCTTGTTGGCCCTGCTCACGTCCACTCCTTTCCCGGCCAGCACCTTCTTGAGCGCCGCCAGAGACACTCCCTTCCGCTCCTTGCAGTCGGCCACGGCGGACACGATGAGCTTCGGCAGGCTGGGTCCCTCCTTCTTGGCTTTCGGGGCCGACTTCTTCCTCGGGGCTTTGGCCGCGGCTTTAGCCGGCGCCGCAGCTGGAGCTTCTTCTGCCATCTTGTCTTCGCGCTGTTTCCTCTGAACGTCTCGAGCTCAGAGCGGGAGGCGGGGCTTATAACACACATGAGAACCGTGAAGAAGCAACGCGCAGCGCCGCTCAGTCGCCGCCTGAAACATGGTCACGCTTGTGTTTTTTCCGCAACATTTTACTCAAAAGTCCCACGGAAAATAAACACTTCTTAACACAATTTTTACCGGAACCGACGAGAAACTCCGGTCCCTTCACACTGAGCCGAGATATAACTTCTATAACGTTTTAAATTCCTTCCGAGAAGCTTCAGACTTGTCAGATACTCGGTGTCTTTGTGCCACTCTCAGGGAGTTTTCTTACAATTTCACTTCCTAAAACATCTAAAATTGTTCCTGACTAACTCAAGCGTTTCATTTGTGATAGCCGAGACACCCGAGGACAGGACTGCGGTGAAACGGTGGCGGTGGGGTGATTAGTCGAGTTGTAACGAGGAGGTTTCTGCTGAACGATAACACACGCGCGCTGCTCGTGTCTCAGGTGATCAGCTGGAACAAACGTCACGTCTCTACAGGTGAAGCGTCAGGAAACACCTTGATGATGATGATGATGATCAAGTTTGGAGAACATGAAGTGAAACTTGTGAAGCTGCGGCTGAAAATCAACGGAGACTAAAGTTAATAAATCATTGATATTATTTCCACTAAACAAACAGATGAGAGAACAGAGACGAGCTTTTCACTAAAACATCTGTGGAGCTAATGACAAAAAGTTTATCCTTCAGGAGTGTCGGTCTTACATGAGAATTTAGAATAATAATTTTTACTGCAATACTTGTTAAAAATGTAAATGAGGCTTCATGAATCCCAAAAACTATCTTACAGTTCGTAATTGGTTTTATTTTCATGTATAATATACAAATATTTACTGATTATTTTATTCTGTCACTGCACATTGGTCTTAGTTTTAATAAAAGTAAATAAAATAAAGTAAATAAAGTTTTAAAATCACAAATAGAGCAGTGGATTGAGAAATATGAGCTGGTTTTCATGACGCTGACCTGTATAAAGAAAAGCTGCAGAAAAATAAAATGTTTGTTACATTTGTGTTTATTCAGATTTTACCTTTATCCTCGTGAAGGATGTAACTTCACCATATTCAATCATTTTAATACTTTAAAGCTCAAGTGTCTGGTCAAACTGATGAGCAACAACAAATCCAAAGTTAAGTCAGGTCCACTGGACGCATTAAAAAATAAAATTGTTGATAACGTATCGTCTTTTATCCTAAAAAGACTCAGTCTGAGGAGCCGCACTAAACTCAGTCTTATAAATAGCACCTTCTCAAGGATGAAGAAGTTCACGTACTGATAGAGAAGTGAAGGAGGCCATCTTTGTGAAGAGAACCATCATTAAACAGGAGCGGAGCCTCCATGTCCGAATGCCGTTATCGTCAAGTCAACTTTATTTAAAGAGCATAAACAGCAGCCGTTAACAAAGTACTCATCGATGAGTAAAATTATTGGGGGGGGGGAAAAAAAAAAAAAAAAGTACTAAATCAACAGACTGTGAAATGAGTAGCTATGTTTACATGCGCAGAATTCTTTGACCGGATTGAAATGTGTTCTGTTTGAATAATTCAAATGTATCGTTTACATGGGCACAATCCGTTCACGATGTGCGTTTACATGCAACGGGCTTTGATTCTGAACAGAAGTACTGACATGCGCAGAGTGGTAAACTCTCCTTAAAAAACCACCGAAGAAGAAGTTACTTCCGTGTAAACCATAGAAGAAGAAGTTCTCTTTCCGGGACGAACGTAAACACACTTGAGCGACAAAAATGGACCCGCGACAGGTTTTAATGACTGTGATGGAGTTGTTACTGCACTCCCTGCTTGAGCTACAGGCGAAGCAACGCATGCTTTTAGTCTTTTTTCTTAGCAGGATGAGAGCGCGGAAGGAAAAATACATCCGAGAAAGTTCTTTGCTGCCGGCAAGTTTAATGCTGCTGCCACTACCTCCACAAACGACCAGAAACCAGTGGATGAAAGTCCGAAGTAAAGACTGGTGGGAGCGTGTGGTCCTCACGCAGTTCACCGACCAGGAGTGGAAGCAGAATTTTCGCATGACACGTCTGTCTTTCACAAAGTTGTGCACTTTGATGGAGAGTCATTTAGCCCCAGAAGAGGTGACTGTTAGAACTCCAATTCCGCTCATGATGCGAGTTGCAGTTGTTCTGTATAAACTGGGCAGCTGTGCCGAATAGCGAGTCATTGCAAATCAATTTGGAATAAGTAAGAGCAGTGTTAAAAATTGTGTGTACATGTTTTGTAAAAGCATGGTGAGAGGGCCAATTAAACAGCTGATCCGAGCACCAACTGACATGGAGGCACTGGAGATCGCCAGAGCTTTTGAGGCTTCCCATCACATCCCTCATATTATGGGTCTCATCGATGGATCACACATCCCGGTTCTTCCCCCCTCTGATGGATATAAAGACTTTGTTAACCGTAAAGGCTGGCCATCCTATGTCCTCCAAGCTGTTGTGGACAACAACTGCTGGTAAGACAAATAAACACTGTATGTTTAAATAAACTTGTTTTTCTTTCTTTTTCTACCTGTCTATGCTTGATACTGTCTGTATTTATTATTAATTACTGTTTTTCCTCTGTTTTTCTCAGTTTCTGGAGCATCAGTTGCAAGATGCCAGGCAGTGCCCATGATGCCAATGTCCTGCGCCACTCTGACCTCTATCAAAGGGCTCATCTAATGCCAAAAGTAAGGCTAATATTTACTATATTGTATTTATTATTTCTACAACTATAAACTATAAAGTAGAGATACTTAGCTGTAAAATTATTTTTTTAAATTTTTGTTAGAAGCATGCCTTTAAACAAATGGTTAAATGTTGCCAATATTTGCTATATTGTATTTAGTATTACTACAATTATTACAGCTAAGGTTCTCAAAGTAGAGATACATAGCTGTAAAGTTTTATTTTAAAAAAAAAGTTTGTTTGAACCATGCCTTTAAACAATGTCTAAGTAAAATACTAAATATTAGTATGTCCTTTTTTTGCAGTCTGTGAGGAACATTGAAGGAGAGGACGTCAGTCTCCTCGTTGTTGGTGACCCTGCATAGCTGCTGTTGGACTGGCTCATCAAAGGACACCCAAACTCTCCTCGTGTGACTCCTCAACAAGAGTCATTTAATGTTTACCTTAGCTCAGTCAGGGTGGGCGTAGAGATGACCTTCGGGTTGCTGAAGTCACGGTGGAGAGTTCTTCTAAAAAGAAGTGACTTTCATTTCACCTTTGCTCCAAAAATGATCGCCACCTGTTGTGCACTCCACAACTTCTGCCAGAGGGAGAGGGATTATGGCAACAGCAACTGGTTGGAAGAGGCACGTGACGTGCAAACAACTACCCTCAGCCTAACCAGCCAGCGAATCTTCAGTGTAGTGTTGGTGGAAACGGTGCAAGAGAGACTGACTGCATATATGTCCAAGTTTCCACTCCGTACAGGCCATCTGCATTAAAGGGGCTTTTTAAATATACAATATATACTTGTCATGTATGTGTTCAGATGCAGCTAACATTTGTATAAAGATATTATAACAAAACGGCAAATAATACTAGTGTACATCGGAGCTCTTTAATGGACCAAACATTTTAATAAATTCTTGTAAACATTTTATATTGCTTGTTGGCACTGTGTGAAACGTGTTTCATTCTCAGTGCAATTTGAGGTAGCCTACATCACAAAAACATAAAAATTATACATTCAAAAAGTTTGTGCAAAACAAACAATGTGCACAGATCATCACATCTTGTAATGAAAACAGAAAAAAACATTCTTTGGTCATTTAAAACTACAGTAACGTGCAATTCAACAGTAACTTCTTTATCAACTCATCCTGTACTTTCAGAATTACAATATCAAAAAATATCTATATATATATAATATGAAACTTTAGCTGCTGCTCAAATAACAAACTTTTTTTTAACTTTAGTTTAGGTCATGGAGGTGGTAATCCGAGTTGTAGCTTGGGTTCTGAGGAAATTGAGCAGACCGGCTTTGACCTGGGTATTGATGCTGACGGTAGGGAGGAACTGGAGATCTTCCCTGTGGAGGTGGGGTCATTTGAGTCATGATGGACTTTAATCCATCAAAACATTGCCTCACTAGGCGCTCAGTTGAGAGTGTGTTTTCTTCTAAGAACCTTACAAACAACCTTTCTTCTCTTTGCCGCCATCGTTCCTGTTGTTCTTCTATCCATTTGTTCTGGGACTCTTGCATCTTCTGGTAGAAGGATTGCTGTTCGGTGGCCCAAGTCTGCATAACCAGAGTTCCCTCGTGGTCCTGCAATGATGTAAAACACTATTACTTGCTTGGATGCAGTACTAACATCATCTCTCTAAACACTGTATAAACATTTGTTACTGTTTTTGTCATCTGGAACACACAACTTACTCTTCCTTGATGTCCTCGTCTGTTGAAAGTTTCTTGGACTGTTGTTTGTTGTGTGCTGCTGTCAGCTGCTTCATCAAAGCTGGACTCATCATCTGAAAAAGAAAAAAATAAAGTCTAACTGGTCCCCTGGTATGTTGAAATTTGTTAGGTTAATTATCTGGTTAGTTGGGGTAGTGTTATAATCCACAATATAGGTCTCATGTTCTCTACTGTGTACAATACTTGGAGGTATAATTATGCTAGCCCTAAAGCTACTCTTGCTTCTTATTATAATTACATTTTAACATATTTGTTGTATCCCAGTTACACCAAGTAATACAGTACAGAGGGTTAGTGTGGCTTGAAGAGTATCTTACCGGAAAGGATGCTTTGTTCCGGATTTGCTTCGGGGCTGTAGTCCTCAGATTCCTCCTCATAACCTTGGTCCACACCGCTGCCTGTCGTGTTGGCCAGTGGCCGCTCTCTCATCAGTTCGTCCATCAACATGTAAAATGAAAAAGTGGTGGGGTCAGAGCCACTTCTCCTGTTCTTGTTCTTAGCTTGGTAGTACTTAGCTTTCAAGCTCTTCCAGCGTTTTTTTATTTGCTCAATTGTTCGATGGATTCCGGCTTCTTCCAGTTTTTCATGCACTTGTTTAAATAACTCCGTGTTCCTACACTTTCGACCGTCAAGGCGTTCGATAATTTTGAGTTCTTTTAACGTTTCGATTAGAAATGTTGTATCGCTCACCGACCAGTTCTGCTTCCCCGGCACGTTAGCATCTACACATTAGCCAGGCGGAAAAGGAAACGCGTAGAGGTACGCGTCGCACATGCGCAGTCAGGTCATTTTTTCACCATCAGATAAAAACGAACAGATCAAGTGTTTACATGCGCACCGATCGGGCCACGGATCGGCGTAAACCACCCGTTTCGATCTGATCACAAATTATAACGGATCGCGCCGAATACACAAAAAATAACCCGAACGGAGCGTTTACATGACACACTTTTGTTCCGACCGGCCATCTGATCCGGTTACTTTTGTCCATGTAAACATACCCACTGAAGAGATGTTTGTAGCAGATATGAACACAGGAATGGAGGTGGCCTGCCTGGTGCTGGGGGGGCAGGTTGATCCAGGTTGGTGGGGGCCCCATGACTGAAAAGCCTGATCTGAGCTTCAGCCATAAACAGTTCATGGATGATCTCAGGGCCCAAGAGGGAACGTGTGGTTCCAGTAGCTCAGATGTGCAGGCACAAGGACATTAAAAGTACTTACAGCAGTTTTATACTTTTACTTAAGGAGCCAGTGAAGGGAGGACATGGTGCGTTTATGTTACACAGTTTATATTCAATGAGGATAATAAATTAATCAAAAACAAACTTCAAGGAAGAAGCTCTTTTTGTGATTAGGTGGCTCTTAAAAGAGCCGTTGTGGGTTGAGATCCGGGTGGGTCTAGGCCCTCTCCCCGCGGATCCTGCGGGCCAGCTGGATGTCTTTGGGCATGATGGTGACCCTCTTGGCGTGGATGGCGCACAGGTTGGTGTCCTCGAACAGCCCCACCAGGTAAGCCTCGCTGGCCTCCTGCAGAGCCATGACGGCCGAGCTCTGGAAGCGCAGGTCGGTCTTGAAGTCCTGAGCGATCTCGCGGACCAGACGCTGGAAGGGCAGCTTCCTGATGAGCAGCTCGGTGGACTTCTGGTAGCGGCGGATCTCCCTGAGAGCCACGGTCCCGGGCCTGTAGCGGTGAGGCTTCTTCACTCCGCCGGTGGCCGGGGCGCTCTTCCGGGCAGCCTTGGTGGCGAGCTGCTTCCTGGGAGCTTT